CTCGAAGGACTCCTTCTGACCCTTAGACATGGGTCACCCAAAGATGTCTCAACGGTCAGAAGCAAACTCCAGGAAAAGTCGGCTCTGGGGTTGATCAAAAGACCATTGGCAAATCGCTAGCTTCCGTTTCCTTGGCCCGAACAAGATGTGCAAGCTATGCATCATATGTCGAGATTTTAGAAGTATTGTGGAAGTTTCCCAAAGTGGTGGACCCTTTGGAGGTTTTGAAGCGAAATGGAAACAGTCCATTTGGGGGTCCCCTCTGACAAACACCCTGCTCACTTGATTTTGACCCTTTAGCCTTGTTGGTTTTCCTTCACTTCCCTTTCCAACAGACAACTATTGACAAGTGCTGCAGGGGGGTCCATATCTCCAGTACAAGGTTCCAATACGGCTGTGTGTTGACCCCTTCAAAGATACCTGAATGAAACCCTGGTAAATGGAAATATGGACTACAACTAAAACCTGCGGTCCCCTAGTGGTTTAATCTTGACCCACATCCATATACTCCATAGCTGTCGCATTTCTGGGAAGCAGGACTTCCTGGAGTAAGGACACCTGCACCTGCTACTCAAAGAACCTACAAACAAGTGGAGTGGGCAGTGAAAACCGGGTTTTGCAGCTGCCACTCGCCGAAAACCAGGTTTCTTTTGAAGAACCTGGCTTCGCTTCCTGAACCCCGAATCATCCAGCATCCCTGGTTGAACACCAGGTTTCTTGTCTGAAAACCGCTTAGTTTTGCGGCACCCTCTGTTTTCTAGGTGTTCGGAGGCCGAACTTTTCTCCGAGACCCAGAACACAATGGGGTCACCGGCGCCGCTCCTGGCTGGGGCGCCAGACACTAGGGCACGCAAAGCACCGCAGGCGCCGCGGCGGGGACCCCACTCCGGCCTCGGCAGGGTTTTGACCCCCGACTTCGGGGTGATTGGACTTGGACTTGGGGACAAAACAGTGTGCAAACTATCTGGGTGAATAGTAATATTGCACCCACCTGAAACTTAAGGTGGTTGGGGGGCTATTCCCCACATAAACCACTATTTGGGGTGAATTCGGTCAGGTCCCTAACTTTCATTTGCACTTTCGCCCCCCGAAAATTTGAAATCTGTCGTCGTAGATTCCGACTTGTGGCACCACTGGACTCACCTGATCCGAGTACCTGCAGACTTGGGGTCCAAAAAGCTCCGCAAACTCTGGTTGGGACTGTCCCTGCTGTGGGCAATGGAATCCACTGTGATACAACAGAAAGGGCGAAACCCCAAAGACTGACCCCATGTAAAGGGGAGATTCCCAAAAGTGTCACAGAAGTTGGGGATAAGCCCCAAGTGGTCCCACAACCTTGGTCCCTAACCTTCACTTACCCGAGAGTCTAGGGTCCTAGGGTTATTTTATTGCAAATGGAAGAGGGAGGATCTGACAAATGCAGTCAGTTTACGAATACTTCTGGGTACCAAACCGTGAACGTCATCCGACACTCAGCCGCTTCCCTTCTCCTAATTCGTAAATCCGTAGTGGGACACCACAAGGAAAGCCCCTGTGCCATCTGGCAACTTCCTCCGGCGAGGCTCAACAAAGACATTCAAAGAAATTCCAAGGGGAAAAATAAGGTCCCCTTTTCGCCCGTTGGTTTTAGAAAGAACCCCGCAAGTTTGTGTGTTTGTGTGTGCTACCCCAAGATGGCTTCGGTGCTCCTTCTGCCTTCCCTTTAAAAGCCCCTGTTCCTTCTGGCTTCCCTTTAAAAGAACCCCCGAAATCGGGTGTTGCTTGAGTCTTTGGCCAAGTTAGTCCCCCTTTCAGTGAGGTGAACCTTCGGGGGTATCCCAGGTTGGCGATCACCAAATTCTTCTGGCAAACCGAACATCCGAGTACCCTTTGACAAAAAAACGTCCCCCGCCTGTTGCGAGACGAGACCAAGTTCGAACTGCTTCTCTTTTCCGCTCAACGTGTTTTTTTTCTTCTTGCAAATAGTGAAGTACAGGTTGCCTAAAGCAAGTCCAAAATTGTTGTACAAAAAAAGCAGGAACTCAGATTTTACCTGGACCCTCAAACTAGCGGTAAAAAGGGATCTCACCCACCTTTCGAGTCGGCCGAATGGTTGGCACTCCGCTCTCTTTGTCCACGCGTCAAGCGAGATTTGTCGCGTGGGGTCTGTTGCCGGCAAGGCTAAGCATGACTGCCGTTGGAACCCGCCAAATTGTCCGAGCAACAACGTTGGATTCTTCATCCACCCACTAAAAAGGAGCGCAACCAGTACTCAAGGTGTGAAACACATGTGAAGTTGTCTTTCTGCTGACTGCGTGATTCGAACTGAGGAAGTCCAGTTGAAACTCGGGAAGTTGGCAAGACCAATGGTCCAACGGTAGGTGTTTGGCAAACTTGCGAAAAATCTGTCTGGTTTAGATATTTGTTGTGCGTTTCAAATCCCTTTCTTTTCAGGGATCATCCTTTTTTAAAAGCCAGTATGAGAAGCTGACAGTATTACCCACAACTCACAAAATGTTAGCTGTTCTGTACACCAAGCACGTCCCAAAACGCAAGTGGTGGGACGTGGGGCCAGCATGTTTTGGGCTCAACCTTCCTCAACCGGCAACGTACCCGGAGACCAAAAACGGGACCCTCCTCCAGCAGATCTATGGGCCGATGGTAAACCTGGCGGATTCCTAGGTGTGTTTTTCTTCCCCCAAACCCGAAGCTCTCAGCTCTAACACAGGGATCCGGATGCATGATATGCACCTGAACATTGCAACTTGTAAATAGTGGTTTCCTTTTCTTTTGGTGGAACAAAGCCATGTTTCAAATGGTTGCAACATGAATTTCTTTTAAGGAGCCCTGCTAACCTGGATCCCCTTTCAGTGAAATGGGTTCGCCCTGGGTGTCTGAAGATCCTCGCTTTCAGAGTCCACGCCCAAGCAAGTCCAACCTCTTTATTGACCAACGAATGGTCTTCCCGGCAAGTATGAAGTCCAGGAACCCAGGGAGTGAGGTTCTATTTTTGACTGGGTTGCAGCCTCTGATTTGTAGAGGCGCTGTGGCATGCCGTGTGTTTTAGCTGACAATAGAGTATCAAGAGCTAACTGCTGATAGAAACAAAAAATAACAACTGCTGATCAAAGCCCCGGACCAAAACACTTGCTTCTGCATAGATGGGACAAATTGGGTTGGCCCCCCTGTTCTGTGTAGGATAACCATTTGGGTCCCTCATGTCCTCCCCAAACAAACAATTGGCTACAGTCCAGTACTGTTGAAACTTCACATCTCTGACATCCAGACGCGGCAGTCACACTGTCCAGACTGATTGTGCTCCAACTAGCTCTTCAAAGTCAGAGCACGGCTTTCCTTTTCTCCGAACGCCAAACGGTCATGCAAAAAGGGATCCGAGTTTTCTGGGTTGCCAATGTTCATGTCTCACATTCCCCGAAAAGACCAGATCTTCAGCTTCAAGGGTGTCGGCTCTCTTGAAAAGACAGAAGCTGGCAAGCTAAAGCATTTTTTGTTTCACAACCACCATAGCAGCGGACTGTGTTTGCCTGACCAATATGACATCTCCAAACCAAATCATGCGTTGCTTCATGGAGCTCGTTATTTTTTTTTAAAAAAAACAAGTCATTCCAGTGGCAGGTGCCACTGGATGTTCTGACCCCAGCTTTTGGTCTTTTTATGCTCATGTCACACATATCCTGATCCCCAAGTGGTTTGAGTTTGTGGTGGGATTCTCAGTTGTTCAGTGACCCTGGAAAAAAAGGAACCCTTTTTGGGGAAGAACATTTTTTTTATGGAGCAGCCACCTACAAAAAAAGGGGAAAAAGGGTGCCACTGAACAACTGAGGATTTCTTCACCCGGAATTCCTCAAAAAACCATCTGGAAGGACACCCTGTCCAAACCCTGGGTCCACGTTTTAAGCCCGAACGTCAACCTGAAAGCTGCTCCGAAGCACCAACCAAAGCAAAGCTTACGTGAATCAGTGGTCTGGGGAAAAAAGGGACTCTCTCCAGTGGTGCTTGTACATACCCCTTTTACATACCTCTTGGGCAAATGAACTCAAAAAAGCTTGCTGATGCTCATACCCCTCCTCCTAAAAGAGGTATATACCTCTTATAAAGCGGGTTGGAAACCAGGGCAGCCAGGGGGTATGAACCAGGGGCATGGACGTCCACCCTTAGACTCTCACGTGGGCCTATCGACCCCTAAGCTGAATCAGTTTGGGAAAAAAGGGGCCGACTTCTGGAGATTTGCACACTGAACAACTCCCTCTGGCAGGTGATGATTCGGCTGCGGCGCAACCCTCAGGCGACGCAGCGCAACAAACATGGATGGACAGAGTTTCATCCATCCCAATTGCAGGATTTAGTCCATCATCAGCAAATCGAAAATGAGCTAGGGTTCTACAATGGAATGTTGCGAGTGTGCGATTCATCACCAAGAGGGCAGTTCATTGCAGTCTGTGGCCTGAGTCAAATTTCAAATTTGGCGTGGCGTTCTGTGAATTGGCAAGATTGCGGGCTTTCAAGTCAGATCCTCGGCTATTTCCCCGACAAGAACCACCCATCAACTACAACAGACACAGCTGAGTACCTACAGTTGGATAAAAGCAGATGGCGGTACAGTCCCCATGTTGCTTGCACACCCAGAACAAGTGTAGTTCTCCCATATTTTGTTGTGGCTAAGTTAGGTTAGCCATGTCCCTCACACTTAGCCATGGACTGCTAGAGTTATGAGTTTCATCTTGCTAGCATCTTGCTGCGACTGAAGTCGTTTCATGGGCCATGAGACTATCACTATCAGCGCCACTCCCTGGTTACCATGCAGTACATCAAGGTCTCCAAAACCGGCCGGGACACGGCAAGCCACCTGAGGTGTGTTCCCCCCATTTCCCCCCCACCTAACATGGAAGATACCCAAAAAGCGAAGGGATGAAAAAGGAGTGCAGCAATTTCAAAAAGTTTGCGCGGGGATCCCTTTTTCTACTCCTCACTTGGGGGTTTCCAGTCGCCACTTGCTGATTTGCGGAATTGGAAATGGGCCGAAACAGACTGCTGCCAGCACAGACCATCTAGCAAAGATGGCTCTCTCGATGCCAAAGGCTGAAGGCATCTGCTGCAAGTTCCAGGCTTGCTACTCACCTCATCACCTTCCTTCGCGTGAAAGGATCGGACCTCAGCCAAATCGGGCGTTTGGAGGTGTGGAGGTTGGGCAGTTTCTTATTTACCCTCTACAAGAACCAGGGCTTCAAATCCAAATCCAAACAACCAATCCAAACTGCCAAGCAAGGAATACCTGAGGTATACTAGGATCTTCAAATCAAAAATAGACTACGACTAATATTCAGCTTCCCACCAATTGGCAGTTTGGCTACCCAAACGAAGAAAAAACACAATTCGCTCATGTTTGGCAAAGCATCGTTGGCCAAGTCTGGCAATGCATTTCGCAATGAGCTTGCCATACACGCGTCTTGCCATGGAAGGTTCCTCGAAAGCAGCGTGGCAGGGTATCTGGATCTGGGGTCTGTCTGAGGCATCAGACTGAACTTGGCATTAGGTCGCCCGCTGGAAAATGTCGACCCTATGCTGGATTGTTTAGAGGTGAACAATCAAGAACCGGCCTGGAAGAGTCCAACTATCAGAAACAACCATTCCTGAAGACACACCAAAACCTCAAACAACATGGGACCGAGCAAAATCGGGAGACTGGGACCCATAAGTGAGTGGCCTTCCCTCTGGCAAAACCCGACCGCGTGGTTCCCTTGTTGAGGCTTTACACATATGTTTAACAGTACCTGGACCCTCAAAAACTAGCCACAGAGAGAACTCACCAACCACAATGTTGGGTCGCAATAACCACTTGAATGGGGAATTGTCAGGGTCCAGCTAGCCTGTTTGGGTCGGTTCAAAGGAACACCCAAACGAAACATAGTTGGGGGTGCCCACTTTCATCCTATCCAAACTTGGTTGCTGTTGACCCCCCTGCAAAAAGTTTAACTTGTGGTTTAGTGGACAACCCCAAAATTTCCAGGAAAAAAAGGGTAAAAGTCTAAAAGATCCAACCCAAAAGCAGTCAAGTCCCAAACGCCACGAAAAAGAAACGGCCGTCACCCACCCTGGCGAGGCTTCTTTAGGCTTCGGCTACGATCCCTTCAGGCCGTTGGGCCTCCTTGATCTACCAGCATCGTGGTAGCCTGGCGAGTTGCGCTGGAGAGAACTCGATGAGTTTCAGGTGGCTGTTCTCAAAAATGGGGTAGCCCCAACATGGATACCTGGATGGAACGTTCGGACTCAAACATAGTTCTCTTTTTTTCTGGTGGCTTAATTCTGACCCACACCCAGGTGAGGTAAGGGAGGTGAGGTAAGGGACCCTTTGGGCTTCCAAGGCCTCCTTGTGTTTGGCCTGAGCCTTGTTTTGTTCCAAAACAGGGCCTCTTCACAATTCAAGGCCTCTTTCCAGAGGCCTCCTTTAGACAGGCCTTTTGAAGCGCAGGGGAACTACATAGGAGGGGTTACGCAGGCTTTGGTCCATGCTTCCACATACCAGGGTTCCATGTTGGTACCGGATTTTTGAGCCACAGCCACATCATGGTGACCCTGCTCCGGGTCGATCTCGAGCCGCGAGCCACATGAAATCTTGGCACGTGGCGATGTCGCCGGTGCCGTCGTCGCGCCAGATGCTCCGACAGCTCCCTTCATGAAATTCCATGTGGCTCCTGTGCCTTACAAACCGCTACTTTTCATCCATTTTCCCGTTTGACATTTGGCTGTGGTGGGCAAAAATAGTTGGTAACCCCAAAATGGGTTGCCCTAGGTGGCAACATGGACCAAAACCTGCGGGCCGTTGGTGGTTTAACTTTGACCCACACCCATATCCACCTTGGTGGGGAACTTGATGTTGCCTGAACAACATTTTGCAATCGTGAACCATTCGTCACTCTGCGGGCACTGCGGGACGAAGCGACACCGAGTCATGACCGCGCCAGCAGGTCGAAATGCTAAGATAATCACCTCCAGACTTGTGAAAACAGTCTTTCAGCAAGGTGCTTGCCTTTCTGAATGTTTCTCAGTGGTTGGATAATGGGCCAGATCATCCAAGGTCCCTCAGACCCAGGCTGAACTGGTGTTCCGATCAATTTGCAATCCCAGTGAACTGTAAACTTGCCTTTAAGAAATTGGCAAGACCTACAAATAGCGAAGGTCTCTCTCAAAAGTATGGGCGAACAAAAGCAAGGAGTCAACCTTTACTGTCATGATGAGACAACAGACCACACGCTAGCTTTAGTGAGATGGCATGACTCGCCAACGCAATGCTTCCTCATGCATCCAGCGAACACCAGTTCCCTGTATGGCATGTACTGGCCCCTGGTTCCCGTTTTTGGAAGGCTCGGCTCCCAAATACAGATTCAAGGTTTCGGTGCCGTATTTTATGGGGTTCCAATACTCAACTTTGTGCGCCTTAGACGTTGCATTGACCCCATCCACCCCATGTGAGGTGTCCTAATCAAAACTTGGTATTGAAGGCGTCTACCCAGATATGGAGATATGGGTATGGGTCAAAATTGAACCACTAGGGACACGGGTTTAGTCCTTGATTCCATTTACCAACGTTCCGCCTTGGGAACCTATTTTCGACCCACACCCATATTCGCACCATTGATGGTTGAAACTGTGCCTCACTAATCTTCACTCGTCCGGCCCAGTGCTTCCAGTTGCCAGTATTGTGGGAAACAGGAGAAAATCAGGAGAAAACCATTATGCAAAGGTGGAGGTAAACACACCAGCCCTAGACTACTGGTACCAGACCCGTAGTGGCCAGAGGAAAGAGAAAACATATTCCCAAATCGGTGTGTTGTTTTATTCGTTTGTTTGTTTTAAGGGGTGACCCCTCCAATGAAGTAACCCAAATGATCCCCTGGTACCTTCTAAGGAGGTACTGAACAACCCCCTTTTCCTTCCGGAAAGCCATCCTCACGCTCCAATTGGGACTCCGGGTAAACCAGGAAGCAATCGGCTGTCCTCAGATCCCCGGCTAAAAGTTTAACTTGTGGGTACCAAATTAGGACACCCAACCACTAAACCAACCAAAAACAACTCGACACCTAAGACTTGGTTGACGTTGGAAGGGGAGCAACAAAAACTAAACTTCAGCAGTTCAGTGGTTGGATTTCAACCACTCAACCAGAACAAGCAAAACTGTGAATCATGTTTCCCAACAACAACTCGACACCTAAGGAACCGCCCAATTCGCGGGGCACTGCCCCGACACGGCACCCGAGATCTTCGCTCGGGCCTCGAGCTCAGAACAGCTCGGAGTCGCAGTGGCCGGCTCCCGCCCCGCCAGAGCTGGAGGAAGATCCTGGGAAACCGAACAACTTGGCCCACGACCGGGGGAGGCCGAAAACTGTTCTAGGTCCTCCAGTAGAGAGGTTAGAATGAGGGTACCATTTTTTCTGTAGTCTGTTTTAGGAGGGGAAAAGGGCACTACTGAGAGACCTAGTTTTAGATATTCTGACTCTGTTTCCATATTCAGACCCTAAAATATTAACATATTTTTCTGGAGGAAACCCTAGAGATGGTCATAACTTGCTTGCAGGAAAACCACCAGACCGCTAGCCGTACCATGCATTCTGCTCAGGCGATTGTTTCGCAAAATGGCGACCAACACCCAGAAATTGAGTGTTGCTGAACAGAAGGATGGGTGAAGAGAATGGGGAATCAATCTACCAAGGGAATCTGACCTTCTTCCAAGGGGAACCAAACGGAGGTGGCTGGGGAATCAATCTACCCTGAGCTTCTTCCAGCGAAAACCCAAAGGAGGTGGCTAAGCCCAACTGGTCTAATATGGTCTAATCATACATGTGAAGCAAGCCAAGGGGTCTCAGGGTAGCTAATGGCTATAACCTACCAAAGCTATGGTAAGTCCCCTGAGTGGTAGTACCATGCCCCTGAAACTTGCTGCTTCTCGCAAAGTCACCATTTTGGGAATGATCCCCCAAAGCGGGGGGTAAGTTCAGCCTTGCTTTTTCCGAATCCAAACACCCGATGTGTTCTCAGAGATGCGTCAAACAGCCCGATAAGGTTGGTGACTTCTCGCATTCAACATTCAGATGGTCTACATCATTAAACAAAACTTGGTCGACGACGGAAGGGGAGCAACAAAAACTGAACTTTAGCAGTTAAGTGTCGATTTCAACCACTCAATCATAATAAGCAAAAATGTAAACTGTGTCCCAACAACAACCAAAAAGTGCTTTCGACGGTTGGCTCTATCTCACAAACGCTTAGTTCCAAACCATGGTTAGACTTGAGTGAATACCCACCCAAGTCATGGCCAGTCCCCTTAATACTATCCACTTGTCTCATGGTTCTGCCTCAAATTGCTTTCGCCACGTTGCATTATGTCAAAATAGGCGAATCCCACGCATGGATTTCAGTTCTCCTGTTGGTTTCCCTGTAAACCAAGGTGTAACGGTGTAACGGGTATCTAACAAGTGCTGAGAGGAAGCCTCTCAAAGTATTGTAGCTCAACATGTTAGGATTCCAAGACTCCATAGGACTCATCGCCTGCAAAGTCACTACAAATAAGCCCAGATGGTATCCTCAGCCCGTCCAACCCTGGAACCATTCCGGAACCCTAGCCTAACTTCGAACCTCTCTAGAAGCTACCAGGCCCTGAAGCTTTCAGCTGGGAAAACCAAATGGAACCACTGAAAAGGATGCATCCAAAATCCAGGCCTCCAAAAAAACGCTCTAACATCAGTTCCAACATCAGCTGTTTCACCTAAGACACCCTGGAATCTGATTCAATTTCCCAACGTAAATACCAACAAACGCATAGTTCCATTGTCGAGTTCAACCATCGTTGTGTCGCTTTTTGGAGTTCGTAATTTGTTTTGTGGCGGGTTTTCAATTGAAACCACGAGGCTGGTAGGTACACTTCAGCTAGCTGTTGAACTATAGGCTTTTGGGCTTCCCATGGCCTTCCCTTGAAAAACTAGGTCCTCCAGTAGAGAGCATAGAACAAGGCCACCCACTTTTTTCTGTACTCTATTTTAGACACGGGGGAACCCAACACCAACCAAAAAGGGGGTGGGAACGGGCACCTAGCTCAAAAAAACCTAGCCAATCCAGTGATCCGGACCATGCCTGGAATCCTTTTAAGACGTTGAAGCTGGTTCCGGGGACCCAACGACCGCCGAAACCGCCCAACCCCCCGCTGATTTCGACCCGGGCCCCGGGCCGGAGCCCGATGACCCAGAGCCGGAGGCGCCGGAGCCGGAGGCGCCTGGCGCAGTTCCCGAGCTCCCAAGCGCCGAGGACCAGGCCCAGCGCTTTCGGCGTTTCAGAACCCTGGAGGCTTCCGTGGCTTTCGGGGGCAATTTCCTCTAGAACATGGGTGAAGACCTCCAAGCGGGAAAAAAAATAAGAAAAAAACAAAACGCTCCTGCTTTCTTGGGCTTCCTTTAGAACATGGGTGAAAACGTCCCTTCGGCGGAGAAAAACAACAAACTTGGCCTTTGTTGAGTTCTAAAGAAAATGAGCGAAGACAGGGGTCAAATTAGTGCGGTTCACCCCCTAAGTTGGCGATGTTACTGGTTCCAGTGCTTCCAGGCAAGCCACTATCGTAGCTAGCCACGTTGGGAACCATCCGAGCCCCGATTTGTTTTCCGTCGGTGGCCTGATTTGGATTTCAATCCCAGTGGATCCAAGGCAAGGCCATGTAGGTCATCAGCTGTGGGTCAACATCAAACCACCAGGGGCCCGGACCGCAGGTGGTACTCCAAGTTTCCATTTACCAGGGTTCCATTCTGGGTACATATTTTTGACCACCACAGCCAGCTATTTCCTCTTGTATCTTAAAAGGTAATAAGCCCCTGGTTGCCTATGTTTCATGGATCCGGGCATCCAAACCCAGGGTTGCCTAAACCACTTCCGAAGCGGCTTGATCCGAAAGGAAATGATTGACCAAACTCTTCAAACCTAGACTGACCTTCTAGGGGTTGATTTTCCTTTTCCATTCTTTTCAACCATCGTTCTTTCCAACCACCGGATCCGTTTTCCCTGGGTTTCCGGAGGTTTGCTAGAAAGAAGGATCCCTGGAAAGAATGGTTGGAATCAAAACCTAGAGACATGCTCCTCTCCCCAAGTGGCTCCTCTGCCCGCGAAACCCGAAACGGAACGCAGCAAACGGCCCCGAAGTGTGGCTCCGTGTGTTGGGTGGGTTCTGCCAGGTCTGGGAGGTCAAAACATGAACCTGGAGTCTCCATGACCCGAATCAAACATGGGTCCATGACCCCTTTATTTTCGGTAATGACCAATTCAAAAAAACAAACAAATCCCAAAAACAAGGGACAACTCTAGGGGTAGCTTCCAACCATTCTTTTCAGGGATCCTTATTTCTAGAAAACCACCAAAAACCCCAAGGGGCAAATGGCGATCGGTTTGTCATGCCAGGTTTGTGAGGTCAAAAACTGCCGGCGCCTTGGGAACCAGAAGTCCGACGACAGATTTGGGGGGGTTCTGATTTGTTTGGGGGGGGGGGAACTTGTTTGATTGCAGCACCCCCCTCCCGCCCAAAAAAAAACACCAAACACTGTCTTTGGACAGTTTCGGACCTGGGAAACCACAGTTGTTGGGGGGTGCTGGTTTGTTTGATGCAAGGATGGCTCAAAAGGGAGTCAAAAGGGTCGTTCAGTACCTCCTTAGAAGCGATAGAAGGAACCAGCAACCCTTCTCATTTTGTGCTGGATCCCGCCAAACCCATGGAAACCCTCACGAAACCAACCAAAAAACTAAAGGAGCCGCTAAAAGCACCGTCAAGTCATTTCACGTCGTTTCCTCAAAAACAACTCAAAAATAACCCGCCTCCAGTGCCGCTTGGGGGTCCGCCGCCCATGGCTTTGGTTGCCTGGCGGAAAGCTCGGAAAGACTTGTCGCGCCCCGAAAGGGGCGAACAATTCGACGGTATGGAGAAGTTGGGTGGTTTGCATTGTCACCTCGTGCGTGCTGAAAATGTGTTGGTCGTTTTTGCAAAACTGAAGGCATGCAGGAAACGTGGAAATGTGCTGCGCCTGAAAAACCGGCTCGTTCTTGGTGTCGCTTTTGATATTCAATGGAGGGTCTGCCAAAGGCCTGCTTTTTCGGGGTCCCTTAAGCCGGAAGGTCGATTCATAAATTTCGGGAAGTGGTCAATTCAGCGATTCGCCGTGCAAAACTTGATTCCCCTTTCTTTTGAGAAGCCACCCTTGTTGGCCACTGCTTTCAGAGAAGGGATGTCCGGTGCTGACTTGCAAAGGTGCAACAAGAGCGGCCGATACGATAAAAAAAGGTAGGTGCTTTCAGGCAGCCACCAAGTTAGGTTGCCAGGGAAAGCCCTCGGAGGTAAAACCCGGTAAAAAGAGGGAAGCACTGGGCATCTGAGATTAATTGAATTGACCCTGACATCAGAATTCCGGCGGGTCCCGATTCATGTCCACCGTCCGTACCACTTGTGGTTAGTACCGGTTGACGCCAATCGCCAACGCTGAGTCGATCGGACTGCTCACTGCGCCTGCTCAGTCTGACGGCCGTTCACGTAGAGGAAGCCCCAGACCTTCAATGGCTGCGTTCTGAACGGGGCTTCCCTAAGCAAACAAAGACCAGTGGATCCGAGGCAAGCCACTATGATACTTGGTTGCTTCCTGCTTCCCTGCTAAAAGTGACTAACTTTTAGTGGCCGAATGGAAAACCCATTGGTTGGCAAAAAGTTAAAGTCCTAACATCCAAACAAAATGCACCAAATAATAGGTAGCCGGTAGTTTTCCTGCTCGGGTCTTGAAGTTGGCCCTCAATCAACCCAAGCAGTTTTGCAAACCCAAAGTTGGGTGACTTTGCCCAACATGCAAAAACTAAGGGCAAGCCTTAGACCCCAGCACAAAAAGTTGGGGGTAGTTCTGATACGTCTGGATTGCACATCCGGGGATAACAGTATGCCACAAAGCGCCACATATTCCATGTACATACTTTCCCGGAGGTTAACACGGAACATCCTGAACCCCTGCAAAGGGGGCTTCCTCGCAAAGCAAATTTCTCTATTTCCCCCCCAATTGGCATAGCAAGAAACAAATAACGCACAGCCCAAAAGAGGCCGCTGAGCACCATGTCGACGGTAGGAGCCATACTCGTTGAGGTTCTGCCCGCTGTCCTCGGGTCCTGAATCTCCGCCGTGAAGCCGTTCCCATCTGTGAAATCACGGGATTCAATGAGCACTTGATCTCCGCGCAGCAAACTGTGCCTTGCCGGTGAGCTCTGATGCAGGGGCTCTGATTTGCTGATTTGTGTTTGGGTTCTTTGGGATGCTCTCAGCCCAGCAAACAAGGGTTTACCTCCAAATAGGACGCATCTATATGGCTGTGGCTCAAAAAACCGGTACCAAAATGAAACCCTGGTAAGTGGAAACATGGACCAAAACCTGCGTAACCCCTCCTGTGCAATTTTGAGCCACGCCCATATTGCTTGGATGTCCTTATGACTCCCTGAGCTTGTTTGGCCCTCAGGCGGTCAGAACACAACTCATGGCGCCGGGTCCGCGCATCTCCAGGTTCCATTTTCAGGCAGCCGCGTGGACTAGGCTGCAATGTGCTTGTTTTTCTTGTTTGTTTTTATCCCGGATGAATCAACCCCTTAGATCATAAGGGAGTTGAACCACACAGAGTCAAAATACCTCTAACATAGAACTCCCCATGTCCCTTTTTGTCCATCGCCCCTTTCGGATGCGGCAGCCCCAAGAGCAGTGCTTGGACCCGGGTACGGCCTGGAAGGTTGAGGCTAAGGGCTTGGCGGCGAGGAGCAAGAACATGAAGAGGTGCAAGGGCGACATGCCGCTGTTCAGGGTCAGCCTCAGGACAAGAAGAGCTTGATGGGAACAAATCCAGCGCACGACCCCCACCCCCCCACCCCATTTTTGGGTTTGTGGTTCGAATGTTTTTTTTGTTTGAGTTGGTGCCCAATTCTTGGAGGGTGGTTTTTAAAGGGAGACACCCAACTGGATCTTTTGTTCTGCCAAAACCAACTAAACAACGCGGTCATGGGGAAAAAACACATGATTGGGTTTGGGGTCGATAGGTGCCCTAGGCTCGAGATCAAGGGCTCCCTTTCATTTCGGTGGCTCCTCTGTTTTTGGAATTGGACCCCCACAGAATGGCGGGAGTTTTCTGGTTTGTTCTTGCCGAAATAAGTAATACCGAGCCTCAAGAAAAGGAACGAGCCACCCGCATCCAGGAAAGGGGGGGGGGAAGGGTGGGGGTGGGGAGTTCTGCGGGCGGGCTGAGGGTTTGAGGGTCTGAGGGTTTGAGGGTCTGAGGGTCTGAAGGTCTGAGGGTGAGGGTTTACGGTCTGAGGGTTTGAGGGTTTGTGGCTCGCTTTAAACGGGGTACTCCCTCCAAACAAGAGAGACCTGGAGGTCGGGGGAGCTAGCCTTTCGGAGACAGGTTCCTAGGAACCTCTCTCTCACCCAATGCTTGCCTACAACAATTGCAACTAACCTACAATTGGAACCCCTCAATTTTGCAAAAACCATCTTCAGGGCCACTTCCAAATGGTTTGGGAGGCATAGCCGTCTTGTGTAAGTCTATGACCTAAAAATATCTGAAATGCCCTTGGCTGAGCGGCTTAGCCGCCCAGCCGGTGGAAGGGTAAAGCCAATTGAACACGGACTGTCTACGAAGGCACCCACACAAGAAAGGCGACATGATCCTAATACGTTTTTGGCACCCGCCAAAACTTCCGGCTTCCTTCTTCATTTCACGGCTCCATGGATTGCTATTCCGGGCCTCGAAACATGCTATTCCAACACTAGGCAGCCAGAAACAAAACATTTAACACACCATCAGGACCCCTGCGGCTTGCCTGGTCGGTGCCATGATGTGCCGTGCAGGGCGCTATGCGGCTATGTAGGACTCCTGGCAAAACACAACAAACACCGCCCAGTTTCAGGGGAAACGTAAGACCTTGGTGTTATATTAACAAAGACCCTCCATATTCGTGTAGGTGTAAAAGTACGACATACGTCGTGTTTAACACGCACCATAGCAATTTCCCAACTCCAAGTTTCTGCTATCTTGGCACACCCCAAACGAAGGCACCCTAAAAGGGGCCCCGGGCGTGTCGCTGGTATCCAGATCACTGATGGTGTGCTGATTCGACAGGCCCTCCATGATGCTCTGCAGGTTCGCGCCTCGGCAACGACGTGGTTGGACGCCGCGGAAAAAGAAAAGTCTGGAATGAAGAAATACTCGTCCCCCTTTTGGCTTCTCTTTAGGTAAATCAACATGATATGGGCAACATTGAGCATCTATAGTTGAAATACCCGTCCTTTGGCTTCCCTTTGGGTAGATCCAGAAGAATTTGGGCAGAATCTAGCACTCTGATCAAGCTTTACCACTTACTCGAGCTCTCTCTTCAGAACCCAACATGATAAACATCTGGGGCAAAACCCTCAGGGGAGTGGGCTCGTTGCATATCCACGCAACCAGCTCGGAGCTGCCAATTCAATTCAGCTTGGCTATCCAAAACTTGCACAGAGGGTTCTCTGGTACCTTCGAAGGATGCCCTGAACGACCCCTTGTGACCCCCCTTTTGAGCCATCCTCTGGTACCAAGGGACCTGGGTTGGAACGAAGGGAATGCCATCCTGGGACCTTTGTAAGCTCGATTTACCCCAAACCTCCTTTGTGCCACGGGCCTTTAGGGTTTATTGTATTAATTTTGTATTTTAAAATCATCCAACTTGCCGGATGTTTGGCGGGTGCTTCCACCAAAATGGGCGACCCCCAACATCCGCCGGTGGTGCATCCTAGCATCTCCCTCCATTTGCTTAAGCCCCCTGAGCAAATAAAACAAAATCCGGTAGTGATAGATTCCCTTTCGAACCAAAAGGGGAAATAAACAATATTCTTAAGCAAATGGAAGTCTCAGTATCCAATCTTGACCGCCCAGGACCCTTGCACACTTGCGACCAGGACAGCGACCGGTTCGGAGTCAGAGGCCAAACTAGGTCCCTTGCAGGATACCCAGAGGGTCCCCTGGTACCTTCTAAGGATGTCCTCCAAGAAATAAACATATTTACAGTAGTGATAGATTCCATTTAAATGAAAAGGGGAACATATTCTTAAGCAACTGGAAGTCTAAGGATCTACCCCTTGTGGCCCGAAAGCCATCCTCAGAACTTGGACCCTCGCAGCCGGGGCTCACCAAAATCCCAAGGTGGGTAAGTCAGGTGGTGTTTGGATGTATTCTACCCGAACTTCAGGCCAAGTTAGGGTCGCGTGGGCCTCGCGGGAGGGGGGGGGAAAGCTACTTGGTTGGGAGTCAGCTACTGGGTTCAGTTTGTCCTGTTTCTTAGTGAAACCTAAACCCAGCCCAAAAGGTTATGTTCTCTACATGGTTCGTGAGCCCCCCCCCCTGACGCTTAAACTAATTAACGGAACCGGCACCAGACTCCTTGGGCATGGCAAATAACAAAAAAAAATAAAAATGGTTTAATCCGAACGCGTTTGGTTTGAAACTCCTTACGCTGGTACTCTCCGGTCTAAAACGGAACCTGGCAGTTCGTCCTGGATTTGACGAATTTTCCGACAGGGACCGAGTTTCTGGTGGGAAACCCATGGGCAACGTGAACAGGAGGCGAACTCCTTAAGTCGATGGGCACGATCAACTTCCGGGCCCGCGTGGGATCGGGGGTTCTCTGAGGGCACGACTCTGGGAGCGAATGAACTCGCACACCTGAGTCATTTCTTTCGTAACCGATCGGTATTTGATATGGTCTACCCGCCATAGGAATGAAAAAGGCGGCTGGTATTCACATGTATTCAAAATGGTCTACCCACCGTAGGAATAAACAAATGCTAAAAAGGGCAGCTACCCGGACTCGCTTTAGGATTGGGACGTGGGACTCTCCCTTGCGATCCTTCATCTACCCGGGTTAAGCTTGTGGCTCACCTGGCCAAAAACCCCTATGCCGCCGGCTCGGAGACCGATCGGGTGGATCGACCAAAGTCTGAACTCTTGGTGCAAGCCGCCCAAATGGTCGCTTGACCCAAAAAGTGGAATGGTCCAAAACATTTAAGTTGATGAAGTTCAAACCGAATAAGAAAAAAAGGAAGAACAAAAAGTGCAACAAGTCCCTGAACCCAGGTGAGAGCTTGTTCCGGATGCTGACCTGACAGCAGGGCGGCGGTGTTGGGCCACTTGAAACAAGGACAGCGGTTCTTGTCTTGATGCTGACCCCATATGAATCAACCCCAGTTTATTCATAAAAGGGGGTCCCCTCCAATGGAGATGATTCCCAACTAAACCCAGGGGCAACCCCTAATAATAAACAGCGGTTGATTGATATGGGGGTCAACATTAGTCGGAACACTATTCCCAACATGGTGTACTTTCTTCTGCTCTGATTCAGACTCTAATGGATTGAAACAAACACGTCTTCACAACAAACGGTGATGTTCAAGCTCCAAAGTTTGGTTTGGAACCTGCTGGCCACTCAAATTTGGGGCCCCTTCTTGTCCTTTCGCTTCCTAAGGCAACCCTTCGATCCATGTTCCGTTTGGTTTTGAAAGGGTTCCGAAGCCCCTGAATCGCCTACGAAACGACTTCTTCGCTTCCTGGATTGGCCAAAACGAAATCCCCGAACAGTCTATTTTACCACTAGTCCAAAAGCCAAACAATTTCAAAAGCCAAGAACTCCGACAGTAAGCAACCGGGCTGTGCGGTCTCTGATCCCCTGCTCAAAGTGAATAACTTCCGTCTTAAATTTGGACACCCCACTAAACCAACTAAAAACAACTCAAAAAAAAAAAGAAACCGGCTGGGGGCCCCACTTAAGCCCACAAAACGTCAGGTACAACTTAAAAGCTACCAAGGAACTCCAACAAAGCTACCACTTAAGTCGCCACCAAGGAAACACAACCGGATGGCGCCCGGCAACTGAGAGCTTGCCAGCTCTCCACGGCTGAGCCTTCCGGCGCAATCCCAAGGGCTGGACATCGCCTCGAACGGAAGCGATTCGAGCCGAGTGGAATTTGTGTCGCTCGAGTCCGCCAGATTTGAGAGCTTACAATAAGTTGGTACCGTTTTTTTTTTTTCCCCCTCAGTGGTCTATTTTAGTAGAACCCTCCGCAAAGAAAGGGCTAAAGAAGGGCACTACTGAGCAAAAGTGGCCGCCACTGCTTGGTTGACGTTGGAAGGGGAGCATACAAAAAAAACAATGAAACATGTCCAGTGGTTGGATTTCAACCCCTCAACCACAAAAAACAAGAAATGCAAAATGTGCCCCAACAACAACCGTGACTGGACCGCAAGGTGGCGTTTTGGTACCTGTACCAAAACGAAGTGAGTGAGCTTTTTATTTGGCGAAACCCAAGCGCGTAGCTTGGGGCTTTTACATTTTGTGTTCAGGGTACCTGGAACCTCAAACTACCCATAGAGTAAAGGGAACTCGTCAACAAAAAAAACTTCGGGTTGCAACCAACTGAGAGTTGGACTTAGGGTGTGGCGTTCATTGGGAAAAGACCCACTTGCTTTTCCAAAAGATGCTGTTGGGGTCTTTGGGGCCTTTGGGGACGGGTTGCAGGCAACCGTAGTTCCTTCAGCGTCGGATCTGATCGACTCTGACCGCAACCCGAGTGAAGGTCCAGCTGACCGCAACTCTTGGTATGTTTCTGCCAGCCCCCACTAAAAAAAGACAGAACCAACAAAAGCAAAACAACTAAGCAAATGCCAACAACAGCGAAGTGTTCCGTTTCTTTAGGAGACCACCCCAAGATGTTAGTGTTCCTCTTGGTTTAGTTTCCTTCTCAAACCACAAGAAAAGGGGTAGCCCAATAAAAGAGACACTCCCAAAAACTGTTTGTTCCGATTGATTCCTCTCGGCGATATTCGTCGCTGAGATGCGGACGAAGGTCGGAGAGATGCAATCTGAAATGGACCAAAGCGAACGAGCAACTCTGCTGCGGTAGACGGAGCCCGGAGCCCTTCAGAATCGACAAAGAAATCGAGCGGCGAAACAGGCAGCCATTGGACTTCAAAGTCACCGTCCAACAAGTACTCCACCCCTTCAAAGTAAACCCCATTCAAACCCCCTTCAGAGCAACCCCCCGCCATTTTAGGTGTTGACCCTGCCTTTGGCACCGAACTGCGACCGACTCTGGGGGGCAACACGGGTGCAGCCCCCCAAGCGAGGCCCTGTGGATGGTTGACATCTCGCACATCCAAATCCCCGGGGCTCGCACGACATGAAACCGTGGGAAGGAAATTCTACCTGGAGTCTCCGTGACCCTTTAAAAATGGGGTTACTACCCAAAATAAAGGGGTCATGGGCCCATTTGTAAAGGGTCATGGAGACTCCAGGTATACGTGTCTTGTTATTTTCGTGGGGGAATCGAAGCGGATTCCTGGGTTTCTTAGGTGCAGGGTGAAAGAACCCGACGATCTGATTTGATTCCCCGATGTAAATGAGCGTACCTGATGGCTTCAACCGTGGTTTCATTTCGTGGTGCGAGAAGCGGATTTTGCAACCATCCATAGCATGTGGCCACAAGCCAAGGCAAAGGCCCTACTTGGGTGTTCGGAGTTAGTTGAAATGGTAGCAGTTCGGTTCTAACCCACTTAGTCCCTCGGGTTGACCTTGTTGGGGTGGGGGGGGGAGCAAAGCCCCAAGTTTCTAACCACTTACTAGCTTGGCAACAAACGTCCAAGCAGACCCCACTCACAAATTAAGAACAACTGGAAAACGGCACCAAGTGACTGAAGCTTTCTCCTGGGCAGTCCTTCTGCAGCCTTTTCCGGGTACTAATACCTCACATGTGCGGATGGGGAATCTGTATTTGACGAATTCCCTTGAACCAACCCCAAAACCACAAATATTGAGTACTTTGACGTCCACATGTTTATTAAGTGAGGCCAAAGTAGCCAAGCCCAATAACTTACAAAGCTTTTCAACCGTGCCCCATAAGTGCTAGCCGGACACGATAATTCGACTCTCCCCAAACCCAAGTGGCCCTCATGGTGCTTTGGGGGAGACATTCGGCAACAGAGTCACCCCAGATTTGTTGCCATGCAGTTCCTATTCTATTGTACCGGGTCCGCGCCTCAACGAGCTTGTTCAAAAATCGGCTGTGTTTCATTCACATCTCTAAAAAAAACGAAAAACAATTCGAGGCTGGTTTCTGGCATAACTCAAGAGTTGTGCGACAGTTCTTCTTACATCCCCAGTTGAAGAAAAATGAGTTTCCCATCATCTCATGAACCTTGTCTAAGTCACATCCCCAGCCACATTGGTACTGGGGGTGTGAAAAGGTGGAGAAGAGTGCCCTGGATGCAATCCGTCTAGAAACACTCAAGCTGCAAGGCAAAACCGAGCCTCAGAGCCCCGAACCGGTCAAAGCTGCGCAGCATGCGTGCAGCAACTTGGATGTTCAACCTACTTAGCAAGTAGGTTACAACCACAAGTCAACCAACCTCTAAGCACGGTATAATTAAACCACTTGTTGTAAAAGTAGGTTGAACATCCAAGTGGGGGGGTCTTTTTGGTTTGTCCGAACATGCAGCCCTGACGGGCGACGACCCTTTGGGTCGAAGACATGCAGGATTCCGTTTATTTGTTTCTGTACGCACCTCCAATGGCCCACATCTGTACATCTTTGAAACATGTTCTGATTCTCTTCCATGCTTAGCTTACCCTCCAACATGTCAACTGCCTTTGGACACCCTAGAAAAGGGGTTCCGGGGAGCTGGGGAGATCACCGACACCCCTACATGTAACCAGAACCCATATACGACATAAGGTTTGAGCACTACCAGCATGGCTCACATATTACTATGGCATCCTGCCATGTTCCTACAGAGGGCCTCAAGACCCTACTGCTACCAAGGGTTGTCCTTCTGTCGGTGGAACAAGTTTGGCAGAGGAAGCAACTCGAGGCACTCCAAAAGCTGATAGCTGCTTTTGTTGATTGATCTTTTACAGAAGAGTAGGATGATGCATTGTGCCAGTCAACTTTACAAGCAGGTAGAGTCTTAAAAGGACAACCCCGCTACGGTGACACTTTGATCTTTGGCGACCGTTCGGTCGCGGAGTTGGTGAAACACGTCGGCGGCTACCCGGTTTCGGACGAAAAGCCGCAAGGCGAAATTCACTCATTCACGTTCCTAGCCTACTGTGCGACACTGATCCATCTGCTTAAGGTTCAACTCGAAGGTAACATGTTTTACTGGTCATCATTCCGTTCGCTGTCTCAAAATCAGGGAACCCCCGGAAACAAATGCGGCACTGGAAGTTTTGACCGAATACACCTCCAGCACGCGACGGTGCGTCAAAAAACGGATGCGCCGCAAAAGAAAGTGGCGGTTTCCCCGTTGGTTTTCCTCTGAAGGTACCATAACGCCAAGTAGGAAGATGGCTTTCCCCCTTTGCTTTCCCTCTCCGAGAAGCGTACCAGAACGCACAGTTCAAAGCTACCTGCGAGCTTTGAAGCAATGCCTCTCTCTGCGGCATTCAGTCGTGCTCAGGACCTCAGCACTGGCGCTGGCGCTTGCGGAGATCGGGCAAGCGGCGAAAGCTTCCTATACCTGGGAGGTGGATATATGAGTAAAGGGGGGGTCTACGATTTCGTAGGGTCGATAAAATGTCAATCTCAAGTGCCTAGGCCACTTTAGGCGGCCTGAATTAACCCTAACCGCTTTGGCCTTCCTTGGGTCCCGAGACCAAAGGTGTTTCATTTGCCGGCTTTGGCCAGCTCTGCCCTCCCCCACGTCGGCACTTGACAGTGACCCAGCCCCTTTAAGAGAAAAATGACCTTCCCTTCCACAAATGCGATGCTTGTCTCAGTTGCCCAAAGGACCTGGAAACAAAAGGTTAACCTTTTGGGGCCATGACTAAAAATGGACCAACATGGGAAAACCAAAAGGTCGAAAGGTCGGCTTTGGGCAACTAAGTTGTAGGAAGGGTATTTAAAGGGGCAGGGTGACCGGGTGCCTGGTAACTGGCAAGTAAGCCTGGTTATAATCCAGGTAGCAGACTTTGACTGGAGGAAAATCAAGGGAACTATAAGGAAATGAAGGGAAACTAAGGGAAAATAATGCAAATGAAGGGAAATGAAGATAAATCAAGGGAACTATAACCATGAGGTAAGTGGGCTACAACCATAAATATGACCCACTTACTAAGTACCCCGTCCCTTTAAGCAACCCCTCCCTCACCCATCACATGGCCTTCAGCATGGCTTTGCTCCCTATGCTTTCCCTTCCGCTCACCAAACGGGAGTGGTGGGACCCCACAAAAAACATTGAATACGAAATGCCAACTGGTGGGACCCCACAAAAACATTGAATCATTTTGGGGGACATGATGTGTATTACCCTCCTACCAATCAACCTGGAACCTGACCCTCCTACCAATCAACCTGGAACCTGACCCGGGGGTCCTGAAAAAGACAATTTTACTTTCTAAAGGGACCCCCTGTCAATTGGTGGGAGTGTTGACCCCGGAATAATCAGTGGGAGGGTATTTGTACTCCAAATTGATGTTGACCCCGGATGAATCAAGCTCAAGGAGTAGGATTTAGGGCGCCCGATTCATCGACTGAAAATTCATCCCGGGCTCCCATTCATCTGAAGCTCGCAACCACATCTTCAGAGCCCTATGCCTGGTGTAGATGTTGTCCATCCATAGCCGAGAGTCACAATCTTCAATCTGTACGGGGTGCAAATGTGGCTAGAGTGCTGCTTTATGGGACAACACTTGGGCAAATTGACCCAGTGCATCACAGTTGCCCCAAAAGGCAACCAGCTATTTCTTGGTTCCCTTTGATACCTACTTCTCGGGCAAATGCACACCGGCAAAGGAAACCCCAAAGCAGGAAGCGAGCTCTTTTGTTTCATAAGCTCGCTGCAAGTTGTGCAAACAGTATGGAGCAAGCTTTGCAGAAACTGGGTCGCTTGAAGAATAAACACGTTGAACAGCGCTTTTGGAGGCCGTTTCCCTTTGCACCACCACTGAGAGGGGCACTTGGACCCCCAGTGCACCCATTTCTGGCTTTCACCGGGGTCCCAGGTAATCCTGAGAAGGAGACCCTGCAAAGAAAGCCCCAGACCGCTACGCCGCTCTGCCAGTTCGTGAAACGACTGCGAGAAAAGCCAAGCCGAGCTGGGCGAGCGAGCAGAAGGCTCTTGCCCAAGCGGGCACCAACCTAGTCGAAAAGCATTGGCAAAGGGTGCACGAATCCCTAGGTTTCAAGGATCCTTCTACTTCACTGTCTTAGTTTTACACAGTCCATGTTGTTTGTACCATTGTCAAAGTCGCCGCCGAATTGTGATAGGTCAAATGACACAACCCCAGACTCTAATTCCTGCAGTTTCAACATCGCCTTTTCAGCTCCCTTGTCTTGCTTGCTGTTGACCCCCTGCAAAAAGTTTAACTTTTGGGGGGTTTAGTGGAAGCCCTTGACTTTCGAAAAAGTTAAAGTCTAAAGATCCAACCTAATAGCAGTCAAGTTGTTCCCGATGTCTTGCACAGAATGGATGTTCGAAGTCGAAAAATAGGCCCCGGCGGCAAGCCTAGTCAACCGTTCTTTGGCCAGGGATGGCTAATGGCTTAGGACAAAAGTGAAACATGGGCTATTGCCCAAAAAAATCATGGAGTGAATTCCCTTGTTTTCTAATGGGTGGTTTTGAAGGGACACCAACATGAACACCCTCCATAGTTGGCGGGTCCCCTTAAAATAGAGACACCCCCATATGTCTAGGGGTACCTTCCATTTCCATTCTTTCCAGGCATCCTTCTTTCTACAAAACCAAAACCCTGGGGAAACAGCTGGTTGTTGAAAAGAACGATGGGAAAAGAATGGGGAAACAACCCCAAGATATATAATTTTTAAACGTGTAGTTTCAGAAACCAGATCACCTTTGTGACTCCCAGAAATACATGAGGGCCTTAGAGTCTTAGAGTCTGAG